GTTTTTCCCCACGTGCTTCGTGGGGTTGTGGTTTTCTTCCTTGCCGCGCCGCACCCGCGACGCTCCCACGCGCGCCTCGCTCTTCCTCCTCACAGCACTGCTCAGCACATCTCAGCTCAGCTCAGCTCAGCACGGCACAGCTCAGCACAGCACAGCTCAGCTCATCTCAGCACAGCACAGCGCAGCACAGCACAGCACAGCATAGCTCAGCCCAGCTCAGCACAGCACAGCTCAGCTTAGGGGGTGCGCAGGGGGTGGCCCCTCACGGCGGCCGCGCGCAGGAATGCAGGGTGCGGCAGGCGTGGCAATGTCTCGATAACAGAGGCGGTGCGCGGGGGGTGCGGTCTCTATGCGTTGCAGGCGCGCAGGGCACGGCAGGCGCGGCACTCTCTCGACACCAGGAGGGTGCGCAGAGGGTGCGGTCTCTATGCGTTGCAGGCGCGCAGGGCACGGCAGGCGTGGGAATTCTCGACACTAGAGGGATGCACATGGGGTGCGGTCTCTATGCGTTGCAGGCGCGCAGGGCACGGCAGGCGCTGCACTTTCTCGACACCAGGAGGGTGCGCAGCGGGCGCGTTCTCTATGCGTTGCAGGCGCGCAGGGCGCGGCAGGCGTGGGAATTCTCGACGCCAGAGGGGGTGCGCAGGGGGTGCGGTCTCTATGCGTTGCAGGCGCGCAAGGCACGGCAGGCGCGGCACTTTCTCGACACCAGGAGGGTGCGCATGGGGTGCGGTCTCTATGCGTTGCAGGCGCGCAGGGCGCGGCAGGCGTGGCATTTTCTCGACACCAGAGGGGGTGCACATCGGGTGCGGTCTCTATGCGTTGCAGGCGCGCAGGGCACGGCAGGCGCTGCATTTTCTCGACACCAGGAGGGAGCGCAGGGGGTGCGGTCTCTATGCGTTGCAGGTGCGCAGGGCATGGCAGGCGTGGGGATTCTCCACACGAGGGGGTGCACGGGGGGTACGGTCTCTATGCGTTGCAGGCGCGCAGGGCACGGCAGGCGCGGCATTGTCTCTACACCAGGAGGGTGCGCAGGGGGTGCGGTCTCTATGCGTTGCAGGCGCGCAGGGCACGGCAGGCGTGGCACTTTCTCGACGCCAGAGGGGGTGCACAGGGGGTGCGGTCTCTATGCGTTGCAGGCGCGCAGGGCACGGCAGGCGCTGCATTTTCTCGACACCAGGAGGGTGCGCAGGGGGTGCGGTCTCTATGCGTTGCAGGCGCGCAGGGCACGGCAGGCGTGGCACTTTCTCGACGCCAGAGGGGGTGCACAGAGGGTGCGGTCTCTATGCATTGCAGGCGCGCAGGGCGCGGCAGGCGTGGGAATTCTCGACACCCGAGGGGGTGCGCAGGGGGTGCGGTCTCTATGCGTTGCAGGCGCGCAGGGCACGGCAGGCGTGGCACTTTCTCGGCGCCAGAAGGTGTGCGCAGGGGGTGCGGTCTCTATGCGTTGCAGGCGCGGGCGCGGCATGCGCGGCATTTTCTCGACACCAGGAGGGTGCGCAGGGGGTGCGGTCTCTATGCGTTGCAGGCGCGCAGGGCGCGGCAGGCGTGGGAATTCTCGACGCCAGAGGGGGTGCACATCGGGTGCGGCCCCTATGCGTTGCAGGCGCGCAGGGCACGGCAGGCGCGGCACTTTCTCGACGCCAGGAGGGTGCGCAGGGGGTGCGGTCTCTATGCGCTGCAGGCGCGCAGGGCGCGGCAGGCGCGGCACTTTCTCGACGGCAGAGGGGGTGCACAGGGGGTGCGGTCTCTATGCGTTGCAGGCGCGCAGGGCGCGGCAGGCGTGGCATTTTCTCGACGCCAGGAGGGTGCGCAGGGGGTGCGGTCTCTATGCGTTGCAGGCGCGCAGGGCGCGGCAGGCGTGGGAATTCTCGACGCCAGTGGGGGTGGGCAGGGGGTGCGGTCTCTATGCGCTGCAGGCGCGCAGGGCACGGCAGGCGCTGCATTTTCTCGACACCAGGGGGGTGCGCAGCGGGTGCGGTCTCTATGCGTTGCAGGTGCGCAGGCCATGGCAGGCGCGGGACACAGGGGTGCACAGGGGGTGCACAGGGGGTGCGGACTCTCTGCGTTTCAGGCGTGCAGGGCGCGGCAGGCGTGGCAAAGTCTCGATAACAGAGGGGGGTGCGCGTGGGGTGCGGTCTCTATCCGTTGCAGGCTCGCACGGCGCAGCAGGCGTGTCATTTTCTCGACATCGGAGGGGGCGCGCAGGGAACGGCCACCAACGTCATTCCCACATGCTTCTTTTCACCGATCATCACTCCAGCCATAATATAAGTATGTGGGGTTCCTCGGTAGCGTATTTTTTTGGCGGTGCCACAGTTTTCCTTTTTGGTAGTGTCACAGGTTTCGTGGCTCCAAGACGCGTTTCCATTTTTGTGTTTATATATATATATAAGGTTTCAGCAATCGCACTCCTGGGAGGCCCCCCCGCCTACCCAGGCCCCAGACAATAGGGGAACCAAGAGGGCGAGAGACAATAGGGGAACCAGGAGTTCACGAGACAATAGGGGAACCAAGAGGACAAAGGACAATGGGCAAACGAAGAGGACAAGAGACAATGGGGAAACCAAGAGGACAAGGGACAATGTGGAAACCAAGAGGACAAGAGACAACATCTTACAGCCACGTCAACATCCTTGTTAGAGGACAAGAGACGACATCATACAGCCACGTCAACATCACCGTTAACGTCTGCATCAACATCTACATCAGCATCTTCGCAAACGCCTGCATCAACATCTTAAACCAGGTGACATTTGCAAGGGGACACCTCACGCCACATATTCTTAAATGCCCTTCTTACGGGGAGGACTGGCGGCAAAGCAAGTGGGAGCAAAGGTGCTTGCCAATGTGCTCCAGGTCCAGGAAGCAGAGGTCTTGGCACGTGGATGTGGGTTCCCTCCAACCGGTTCCAGCAGCGTGGCACGGGGCCAGGAGACGTTCGCCCCCCCGAACCTTAGCGCTCGCCCACCTCGCCCCAAAAGCGGACCCCAATCCTTGGGGCAGAGCATCCAGAACACCCTCGCCCACCCCAGGCAGGCCCAGATCGATCCATATGTGGTTTCTCAGTTTGGGACAGCAATGGTTTTGGTCCGCCAGGAACGCTTGGGCCAACAACCCCCTTCGCAGGTCTTGCGACATGGGGGGGGGGGGGGGGCAGGCGATCAGCAACAAGCAAATGAGGCTCGAGCAACTCCAGGGTGAATTTCTGGAGATCTGTACCATTATGGAACCCCTCCAGATCCAGCAGGATTTTCTTTCGGAACAGGCAGGCAAGGTACAGGCTGAGATCGAGATGGCCCAGCAGCTGCAGACCCAAAGGCTACGCGGACATGTTGCGGCCCCTGATGAGGGCCAATCACATCGTAAGTTGGCAGCTCTTCTCGAAGTCCTCGATGTTCATCCCGATCAAGATCGCACCCTGGGTGAATACCAGGTGGGGCTCCAGGGGCAAGGTTTGGGAGATGAAGAGGATGAAGAGGGGGATTTTCGCGCGGAGGCAGAAGGCATGGACAAGGCTTTTTTTTCATGAGGGTTCTACAACAATGAGACCTTGGAGGAATTGGATGAGGAGCGCGGCTACACAAAGTATCCTCAGAGGCCAGCAGATGTGGACATTGGGCGCTCCCGGCCAAGCTCCAAACCTCCCGTGCTTTTCTTTACTCGGTCCCTTCAGGAACCTCTTCATATGCACATGCGCAGATGGTGGGCCCGCATGCGAAGAAGTCGCTCGCAAAAGGGAGGAATAAGAAGGGCAAGGGGGCGCCAGCTCAGGAGGGAGGGTGGCAGGGCAGAGGATGGCGAGACGCAGGTGGCAGCTCGGCAGCAGCAAATGCAGGAGCGCACGCGCCAGGAGCCACTCCCCCAGCAGCAACAAGTGCAGAACCTCCCACCCCAGCAGCAGATGCAGCAGGTGCAGGAGCAGGAGGAGGTGACGTCGCCGACTCCCACTGAGGGTTCCCTGGCAGGAGGGGCGGCCGGACCCCGCCGCCGACCTCGACGTCGGCGCCGCGCCCAACTCCGCCCCTCTAACCTCTCCGATTTCTCCATCGCGACGCCCGGCGTGTCTTCGCGGGGAACGGGGGGGGGGGCTTTCTGTCGGGCAGAATTGATGCAGATGTGATCCCCATCCAGGAGCACAAGTTGCGGGGGCAGAGACATCAGGGGGAAGAACCAGCTCAGAGGAAGAAAGGATGGAAGGTTTTCGGGACGGCTGCTTTCCAGGCAAGTGTGGGGGATTATCGAGTGGCATGCTTATCTTCGTGAAACCGCACCTCGATGCCTGGGCCGCCCCCAGCCAGGAATCAGTAATCCCAGGGGGAGCTGCCAAATGCTTCCTGCGCGCTTCTACGTTTGGCATCGTCGCTATTTCCTCCATATTGGGGTGGAGTAGGCGAAGAGAACTTGGGATGCCCCGAAGCGTTGGGGCAATATGTATTAAAGCACGGGCACTGCTGCATCATAGGTGGCGACTTTCACATCCCTTTGATCCAGTTTCTGGAGAACGTAGACCTTGTCCAGCTTGATGGCAGAGCCTAGGCTGATGATTCGATCCCCGCGTTGAAATCGGGCCCGCAGGAATCGTACTTGCATTGTTTTGTGGTCTCGAACTTGCCTCCCCATGCAGTCAAGAATGCGCAGACGCACCTCGATGTTCCCCTGGGGCCTCACAGGCCAGTGCAGCTCACGCTTGGCAGAACCACTCAGGGCATCTTGGCAGTGGTGACAGAAGCTTATGAACAAAAAAGGTCCCCAACGAGCACGCTCAGGGCCCAGTGCGAGCGCCTCCTGATTACTAAGACCTCAAGCAGCAGCTGCCCGAGCTTCCTGAGAGATGCCAGACTGATGTTTTTTTAATGTTTCTCTTTTGGAGGCCCATCATGGAGTCTTGCTGAAGTGTTCACTTGAACAGCCACGCCATGCCACCGAGAACGAGACGAGGGCAGGTCGACAGCGCGACGAAGGAGGAGCTGGACACCGAGAACCGAGGCCGCCGCAAGCACGACGATCTCACTCGACAAGCTGGGCCACCTGGAGATCCAGAAGACGACGTACCCCGAGCTGCATCACCAGAGCCAGCCGGAGACGATCAAGTACCTTCTTCATGGCAACCGCCCATCAAGGATATCGAGAGGGCAGGCGATGTCGACCCAGATCCCGCACCCGTGGCCACGAGGCGCTACGACCACCTCGGTGACGTGCCTTCCACCATCAAGCAGAAGTCCGACTTCCCGAGCTCAGCCGTACCAGTCATAGAGCGCATCGTTACAATCGAGGGGAATATCTTGAAGGGCGCAGGGCCCCCTCCTAAGGAGAGGGGCAGGAAGGTCAAGGGGCAGCGGGCGACGCTACCCCTACCCACCAGCACCAACCAGCGACTTCGAAAGGAGATCACCGAGAAGTCTCTGATGAACACCTACAAGCGCCAGCCCTGCGTCGCAGCTAAGTGCCGAGAGTGTGGCAACGTCAAGAATGCCCGAGCTGCGCGAGTGCTGCCTCCTGCTGAAGCTGATCAAGTACTTCGTGATCCAGAGCTCGCTTCTCGAATTATGGGATCCTGGCGGGTCCTGGAGATCGGCTTCGAGCGCCCCATCTTCGACGGCTGCGTCCTCTACCTGAGGGGCGACAAGGGGCCCCGCGGAGTCATGGGCTCGGCGGTGGGCGACGTCGCGGGCGGAGGCGACAGCGAGATCGACGAGGCCTGCAAGGAGCTGCGCGCGAGGTTCGAGCCCAGCGCCACGAGCAAGCGCGCGGGCGAGGAGCTCGCGCCGAACGACGACAACGCCGAGATCATCGTCTCACGGGGCCAGCATTCGACCGATATTCCGGCGATCAACAGCGCGACGGCGCGACGCAAGGAGCCGCGGGCTGCAGCGCCTCCAGGAGCAAGCCCGGAGTTTCTGCGGCTCCATTCCCTTCCTGGCCCGCCAGAGCCGCCCCGACTCATCTGGGCCAGCCTCTCTATTTCGCGGGGAGATGCTCAATTTTGCGGTCGACAACTTGCCGGGGGCGAACGGCGTCGGCGGGGTGGCCGAGGAATTCAGCGACGTGGCCTTCGATGTCAAGCACGTTCCATTTCTCTAGCTAGCCTTCGCGGCCATCAACGACGCGGCCTGGGCCGGCGCGCGAGACGGAGCTTCGCAGGCTGGGCGCATCGCGTTCGCGACGCAGCGCGAGATCTTGAAGGGGGGGCCCGCCACCATCTCCATCCAGTTCTGGAAGAGCCACAAGTTGAAGAGGAAGTGCGCTCATCAGTTTGGAGCGCAGACGCTGGCGATATCCGAAGGAATGGCTATGGCGGAGTTTACGCGCGCCATGCTGCTCGAGATCGTCGACCCCGGGATTGATCTCATGAGGCCCCGCTTGCTGTCGGGGCGCTTCCCGGTCATCAACGTTGCCGGCTCCCGCGGAGGCCGCGACCGCGCGACCGGCCCCGGGGCTGGCCTGGCGGGGGACAAGCGCGCGGAGATCGACGTGGCCATCGCGAGAGCAACCATGGAGCGACCTGAAGTACATCTATGTTGGAAAGAAGGGGCAAGCCAGATGACGGACCCTCTCACCAAGAGGAAATGAGAGAGCTCATTATTGCGACGCGCCCTGGAGCAAGGAGAGTACGATATCACCGCGGACAGCATCGCGCTACAACGCCGCTACGAGGAGAGGGTCAAGCGCAAGAAAAAGCCAGTTCACTACGCCTGTGTGACCGACTGCTGATTCCCAGGGTGGGACATCTACGAGAATCACTGGCGCGGGAGGTCTGCACCAGAGCAACGAAACGGACGATCACAACTACGATCACAACTGCTGGCTCAGGAAAGCCCAGCAGGCCTTGGCAGCGCAGGCGGCGACCCATTCAGCGCATGAATCGGGATATTTCAGGAGTTCATCGGGTCCTGAACAGTATCAGCCACGCGCAGAGAGGGGTGGGGGGAGGAGGGAAGGCTTCTTAGAAGCACCCCTGCTTCTTAGAAGGCGCGGGCCTTCTTTGTAGATGTAAGGCCGGCGCCTTCTAAGAAGCAGCCTCCTTCTAAGAAGCTTTCCCCCCTCCCCCATACCCCCTTGTGCGCGCCACCAAGTAGAGTACAACCAGTGTGATTCTAGAGGCCTTCGGAGTCTTCGGAGGCCCTGAGGAGCGTAGGAGCTTAGCCCAGAACCCTGAACTCTTTTCCCTAATCGCTGTTTTTTGGTTCAGGGGAAGGGGGCCTGGCGGCCCCCTTCCAGGAGCATGTGCGCTTGGTATTGAATAGAGCTCGCCATTTCCTTGTTCATGTTCTATCGTATGGCGTGATGTCCCGGCGACGACCGACGGCATTCGGGAGCCCATCCACAGATCTTCCTCATCTTCGATCTTCAATTCTCCTCATCCTCGATATCCACCTTCTATCACATGCTCACCTTCAGGTCTCCTCCTCGACCCTTCCTCCTCGTCGTCTTGGATTCCCTTCCCTCGATTCCCATCCTGCTCCTCCTCCTCCTCCTCCTTCTCCTTTTCCTTCTCCTCCTCCTTCTCCTCCTCCTCCCCATGCTCCTGCTAGGCCCTGCCTCTTCATCCTCGATCCGCCCCCTCGATCCTCCTGCTGCCGCTTCCTCCCTCCTCCTCCCTCCTCCTCCCTCCTCCTCCCTCCTCCTCCTCCTCCTCCTCCTCCCCCTCCCTCCTCCCTCCTCCTCCCTCCTCCTCCCTCCTCCCTCCTCCCTCCTCCCTCCTCCCTCCTCCCTCCTCCCTCCTCCCTCCTCCCTCCTCCTCCCTCCTCCTCCCTCCTCCTCCCTCCTCCTCCTCCTGCCGCCTCCTCCCGCTCCAAGCGCCAGTTCGGATCGAGCCCCTGGCTCGGCGGCCGAGCCAACGCCACGGAACCCCGCGCTCCACTCCTCCTTTCCTGGGCCCGCCAGTGTCGAGGGGCGTGCGGCTGCGCGACTCCTCCACGCCCCCGCCGAGGTGGAGCGCCACGGGGGCCAGGGCCTCACGGGCCTCGCCCGCGCGCCACGCCTGGCGTTGGAGGCGGCGCCAGCTGGTGCAGCTGACGGCGCCCGTCCCGCCCTTTCCCCAGGCCCCGCACCTGGCGAGCGGGACGGAGACCGTGCCGCAGTGGCAGCTGGCGACGGCGACGACGCGGAGATCCAAGGCGAGTTGGCAGTTTGCAGAGCCCCCCCGCCGCGGCGGCGGTGGCGGCTGAGGCGGCTTTGCTCGTTCTCCCGCGGCGCCTGGCGGGCACATGGCGGCGGCAGCGCCTGGCCTTGAGGCGCCGCGGGTCGTGCCGGAGCCGACGGAGCGCAGGACCGCTATTTTGGCGATGTGCGTTGTGATGGTGGAGGCGTTGCCAGGTCTGCATCGGCCAGGAATGCCAGGGCAGACTGTGAGAGCAGCGCGCAGCGTGGTCGACTTCTTCACGATGCCCGACTGCTGCGCGGAGACCTTCGTGGGCGGAGCGGCGACCTGGACGCAGCCTTCCGCAGCTTTGGGGAGGCGATCGCCGCCACGGCCGAGGCCGCGCGGCAGCCTGCGCCGCCGCCCGCGCCACCCTTGGCGAGTCCCGACTCGACTGCAAGCAGTCGTGATCGCTGCTGGGCTGCTGCTGCACACCACATTCAGTACGCCTCCAGGGGGTCAGTACACGTGCGAGCTCCCAGGGGTGCCACCGCCCGTCGTGAGTGCGCGTCCAGGGGGGGGCAGTACCGACGCAGCGAGAGCTACTGGAGGAGCGGCGGGGCGCTGCGGGGTGCCGAACTGTCCACCATGCCGTTCGATGGTTCTTCTGTCGACTTGTTTTCAGGTGCTTTCCTGAACGGGCTGCTCGGCATCCAGGATTTGGGATGGCTTCAACTGCCGTCCTTCGGGCGTACGCTTGCTTTTCAAGGCTGTCCGCATCAATTCGGTAGTCTTGTTGTTTTAGTGCCATATGTTTGTTCGTATTACATTATTTGATTTTCGTGGTGTGTTGCGGAGTTTTTCAGTACGGTGGAGGGACATTAGGATGATCGACACTGGCTGGAGCGCGTCATTTCACGCAGCATGGTGGAGCTCATGCGCAAGATGGTGAACATTTTACTACACAAGTGATCCTTGCACGGCTGGCGGGGAGACAAAGTGTTTTAATGTGTCGCTCGCCTTGGTGGGTGCGGGGTCTTCGGGTGCATCTCGTTTCTCTCCGTCGCTCGTCAAGTTCAGGGGTGGCTAGAGCTGACATATGACATTGTTCAGGGATCCTCCTCCTCCTCCTCCTCCTCCTCATCATCATCATCATCAGCATCATCATCCTCGTGCTCCTGCTGGGCCCTGCCTCCTCGTCATCGATCCGCCCCCTCGATCCTCCTGCTGCCGCCTCCGGCCCGCCGCCGCCCCTCGCCGCCCCCGCCGTTCGGAGGGGGGCAGCGCCCCCTCACGCCCTTCGCGCGCGGAGTGCCGCGTTTTGGTGGGCCGCGGGGCTGGGCGCCGCCCCTCGCGGGGTGGGGGGGGGGGGGCCCGCCGGCGCATGGCGACGCGCGGCGGCGCCCGCGCGTCCAGTGGCAGCGGCGGGGGGGAAGCGGACCCAGACAGGGTCGCGTCGTTAAAACAGCAGGACGGCGAGTTTTTCGCTTTTCGGCCGCGGGGGGGCCTCGCAGGGCCCCGGGAGCGTCAAGAAACGGCTCAGAATGTGAAACCGGCCCCCGGAGAAAGGGTCAGGACTTCAGGACTTCAGGACTTCCGGGGGCGCCGTACTGAAAAATCAGGACGTCGCATGTCGGGGGGGTAGCACCGGGGGGAAAGCGGAGTCGGTGGTTCAAAGATGGAGTCCTGAGGGGTGGGGTCCTAAGGGTAGGAAGGGGTCCAAGGTTGGATTTGCATGGTTTCGGGATCCTCGTCCTGAGGGCCCCATCCCTGAGGACCCCATCTCTGAACCACGGACGGAGTTACGGGTCCTGCGACTACGTCGGTTACCGGATGGGAGCAGCCCGGACTTGCCGCTTCTTGCGCTTGGCTTTCTCTCTCGTCTTTGCTGTCGATCTTCGGCCGCGCGCCGTGGAGAAGTCCTGTCGACTGCCGTTCGCGGGCAGCGGCGGGTGGTGGGGGGGGAGGGGCCCGGCCCGGGGCGGGGAGCGTCGACGCCCCCACCCGTTCGTCGCCGATCCAGGCTTGGCCCTCCTGCCCTCCAGAGGTAGCAACATGACAGGGAGAATCGTACAACGGAGAGGCAGGTGACAGTACACTGCAGAGAAGTCGGAGGTCCGCGCAGATTTCTTGGATCGGCGCTGGGCCCCTCACCCGTCGCGCCAGGAGCGACGTCGTCGATGGATGCCCGACGTCGCGGATGCATCGGCGATGCACCCGCGATCTTGCGGCCCCCTTTACCCAGACCGCACTTGGGAGGCTTATATTCGAAGTCTGCGAGGGCAGACGAAGTTCGATCCAGATGGTGAGGACGTTGAGCGTCGAGCTTCGAGTTTGTTGGTGTGTGTGTGTGTTGGCCCTTTTCGCCCCTCCTGCCCCGCTCCAGGCAGGGAGGGGGGAGGACGTCGAGCATTGAGTTTCGAGGATCGTGATTCGCAAACGGATGTGTGCATGTGTGTATAGAGATAGTGTCACAAATTCTCAAGACTTGCCCCAGGAAGTATCGCAGGGTGCGTGTTGATCCTGCTTCTCGTCGGTTGTGCGGATGTGTGCGTGTACAGTTACAGGTTCGCCTTTTTGTGCCAGCCAGGAGGTTTCACGTCGCCGCGTGTGGATTTGCTTCGAAAGTTTGGCCAGAACGTTCCAGGGACGGGAGGATTTCGAGCCTCGGGCATCGAACATGCTGCTTTTTGATTCAAATCCATGCTCGCTCTTTTGCGGCCTCCCAGGGGGCTTCTCCTCGCTTGGGCTGTATCCGCATCGAAGTTCTGGCAAGGGCGCACCCCAGCACCGAGGAAGGCAAAAACACCCCGACCCCCATAACTGGCATTTACTAGACAGCGCTGGGCGTTTGTTAAACAATCCTGCCCTGTTCGATTTCTTCCTCTGGTGAGATTGGCAGATGGCCTTGCTTGTAGGGTAACCATCATGCGGCTGCTTATGATGGACTTTATAGAAGAGTTTCGGTGGTCGGACTTTTGAGGTGGAGGAGGTGGGGGAGGTCGAGGAGTTGCAGTTGAGGAGCGCGCGCCTGTAAGCAGGGGTTGCAGGCGTTGACTGTCTCCGCCACTTCCTCCCCTCGGGAAGGGAAGGTGGGAGGTGAGACGCTTGACAGGAAGAGGGGGGGATGAAGACGGGCAAGGCGGGAGGGCTCTGATTTTGAGGAGAACTCTGTCCGATTCGATGTAGACACCGCCAGTACCGTCTCCACGAGGGCACAGCCACGGCGCCCCGGATGCCGCCGCATACCCTGGGGGCAGAAGAGCAGACGCAGCGGCAGCGGCCGCTCCTGGAGCATCCGGCGACGAGGAGGAGGAGGTGGATGAGGTGCAGGGGGAGGAGGAGTAGGCGGAGCAGGAGGAGTAGGAGGAGGAGCAAAAGTCAGAGGGAGAAGCAGAGGTAGGCGGAGGGCTTGACCGGATGTTGACGGCAAAGAGCATGGGGAGGAAGATGGGGAGAGGGGCGATGAGGAGGGGGGAGCAGGAAGAGCGAGGAGGATGCAGGAGGACGAGAAAGAGTAAGAGAAGGGAGGACAGGGGGATGGAGGAGGAGGAGGAGGAGGAGGCGGAGGAGAAGGAGGCGGAGGAGAAGGAGGAGGATAAGGATGAGGACGGGGAGGAGTTCTTTCTTCTACTGAGCACTTTCCCTGACCGTCCGAAGCCGTCTTCGTCCCTCCTCCGTCCTGCTGCATCTCCATTCCTTCCTCCTCCACTTCTTCTGCCACGTGGGCGCGGCGGCATTCCTCTGCCCTTCCTCCCTTCTTTCCGCTCTCTTTTGGCATGAGGCGCGATGCCTTAACCATAACGAACGCATGACCCCTCCCCAATCGGACATGTGGACGAACTTTTTCCTCATCGCCAGGCCAGGAGGGGGGTGGCCGATGATGATGGTGGTGATGATGATGACGATGATGATGCTGATGAGGATGATGATGATGATGGTGATGGTGATGGTGATGGTGATGGTGATGGTGATGGTGATGATACTTATAATGATGATGCTGATGCTGCTGATGCTGATGACAATGATGATGATTATGATGTTGATGCTGATGCTAATGATGATGATGATGATGATGATGATGATGCTGATGATGATGATGGTGGTGGTGGTGGTGGTGGTGACGATGATGATGACGATGATGATGATGCTGATGAGGATGATGATGATGATGATGATGATGATGATGATGATGATGATGATGATGGTGCTGATGTTGATGCTGATGATGCTGATGCTGATGATGATGATGCTGCTGATGAGGATGAGGATGATGATGAGGATGATGATGATGCTGCTGGTGGTGATGATGATGATGATGATGATGATGATGACGATGATGGTGATGATTCTGATAATGATGATGATGAGGAGGAGGAGGAGGAGAAGGAGGAGGAGGAGGAGGAAGAGGAGGCTGAGGAGGAGGAGGAGGAGGAGGAGGAGGAGGAGGAGAAGAGTGAAGCTGATGAGAGAGGGAGGATCGGGTTTTTAGATGTTTGTTTCTGGCGCGTTGCAGATGTGCCTTCCCCTTCTTTCACATCTTGTGGGCATCTTGGATGCCCAGGGGACGGCATCTTGGAGCTTCTCAGGGCTCCTCGCGCCTTGGGCGGCCCTCTGGGGGGCTTCTTCTGGGCCCCTTCGTGTCCTCTTGGGCCTTCCTGCGAGTTCCCCCTCGTGGGCCTCCTCTTGGGCCCCTCTAAGGGCCTTCTTGAGGGCCTTTTCGGCCGCCTTGGGGGCCTCGTGGGCAGCCTATGTACCCCCTCGGGCCGTCTCCGTGCACTGTCGGGGGCCTTCTGGGCCGCCTTCAGCCAATCTGGCGGGGACAGTTTTGGAATTTCAGAAGCTTGATCAGGCGGGAAGGTTAAGCCAAGTCAGGACCATATTGAAAAATCAATGATGCGTGCCTCTTGAGGCTCTCTTGCGGGTCCTCTCGGGGCCCTCTTGGGACGCATTTGGGGCGACCTGAGGTCGTCTTGGGTGCTCTTGCGGCCTCCCTGGCGCGTTGGAGCCCTTCTCGAGCCACCTTGGAAGCCATACTGGTAGGCATCTTGGCGGCACCATAGGGCGGATGTGGAGGCACCAGCGACCCTGGAGGATGTGCTTGGGAGCTCTTCCTGCTCCCCCCGTCCTACTGAACGGGATGCTTGACCCCAGGGCGGCGAACCTGAAAATGGGGACAGCCAGATGTTTCACACTCCCTTTCACCCCTGGCAAGCGGGGGTCTGCGGATCATCCTCCTGCTCCTGCTAGCTATCCTCGCCCTTATCTTCCTCCCGTCCTTCCCCCCGCTTCATTTCTTAGCCCTCCTCCTCATCTTCCTCATTCTCCTCCTCCTCCCCATTTATCTTCACCCTCCCTCCACCTCCTCGTCCGTGACCCTCCTCCTCATCCTCCTCAATATTCCTCGGGCGCTTGCTGTTCATCCTCCCCCATCTTCTAGCTCATTCCTCATCCTCCTCTTCCTCCTCCTCCTCCTCTTCCTCCTCCTCGTCTTCATCGTGTTGCCTCCTGTTTATCCACCTGCTTCCTCGTCCTCATTTGCCCACCTCCCTCCTTGCCTATCCTGCCCCTTCCGCGTCCCTTTGCATCATCCGCCTCCTCGGCCAGCCTTGGACGAAACGTCCAGCTGCGCGCCACATGCTCACATGCTATTTGCGCCACCGCCGACGAAGTCGGGCGTGTGGGGCCTTCGTGCCGCTCGACGAGAGCGGACGGTCACCTTCGCCACCGTACAAGCGGGTGGCGCTTCAACAGCGAATCCAAAGTTGAACGCGTTAAGACCGCGGGTCAGGGCCTGCTCAGGTGACGCGCGCCGTCCTGAATGGTTGGACGAACGGCCACCAGTTCGTATTGATCTGCTAGCGGGCTGGCTCGCGCCCAGGATTGGGCAGCACGCGAGCGCCCCAGAATCCTAGAGCGGGCGGCCCTGCGCAGGCAGCCGACAGGTCAGCAGACACCGTGGCTCCCCCCTGCCGCATACAACACACACGCACTGTTTGTGCCTCGGCGGCTAGGGGCTAGGCAGAGTGACTGGGCTGGCGAATGAAACTAACACATACACACAACACACAACACACAACACACAACACACAACACACACACACGCCACACACGCAACACACGCAACACATCATACACAACACACCACACACGCCCGCCCATCCTCCCCCTCGACCGCCCAGAGCCAGCAGCAGGAAGAAGTCGATGACCCGTCGACGTCGTCGCCTGCTACCGTCGTGGTCGCTGCTGAGCCTGGGCCGTCTCACTCTTCGAGCTCCTCGGCCCCTCCTCTTGTCCCAGGAGGTCAGGCGAGGCCAGCAGGAGGAGGCTTTCAGGACTGATGCTGAGGAGGAAGCGTCGGATTTCCTCTTCGGCCCTGCTGATGCGTTGAATGTCTTCCAGGCGCCCGCGCCGCCGCCCGTCGTTTTGCCGTCTTGTCGCCTGCAGGGGCAGGAAGCGGGACGGGCTGCGCAGCCTGGTGGTCAGCCTTTTCCAGTCTCTGCCTCCTCCCCCCCCAACGAGACGGGGGAGGGGGCGTTTGCTGGCGGTCTCCCTCCCAACGCGCATGGGGGCAGCCAGCTCGAGCAGCTGCGATCGGTCAGGGCCCGCCTCCTCGTAGAGGAGAATGAGGCCCCTCTGTCCATCATAGCTGCTCGTGCAAGGTCAGCGGGGTCTAGTGACTCCGACTGAGTCGTTCGGTCCTGGGGGTACCGCCCGCCGTCCGCGTCGGCCACCGCCCTGGTCCTTCTTTCTACAGTGCCATCAGCTGGCACTGCTTTCAGCCCTGGCGTGCACTCACCAGGGGAAGGCTCATGTGAAGAATCCCCGTCCTCGTCCACCCTCCTCCTCCAGCCTCCTCGTTCCTCGCTCCCCCCCTCCGTCTACCTCATCCTCTCCGTCCTCCTCCATCATTATCGCTTCTCCTTCGGTATCCTCATGTGCCCTCCATCCCTTCTCCTAAAGAATTCCCCGTCGCATCACCAGACTCGACGGTAGGCCGGGCCGCGCGTTTCGCCTGAGATTTCTTCGCCGCTTACCCAGTTGCCTGCGGCAATCCCCGCCAACGTGCTTGGGCAACATCTTAGCAGGAAGGGGGGGCCTGTTAGCGATGTTAGGGGGGCCTTTGGTGGTCTGTTAGGGTGCTCTTGGAGGCGCTCGGGGACGCCTTGGGGGCCTGGGAAAGTCTCTCGGGGGCATGGTGAGGGTCTTGGAGCCAAACTTAGAGGGAAAGGCTTTCGAGGCCAGCTCCATTTCCTCCTCTTGGGCTTCATATTGGGGCATTGTTGGGGGCCCCTTGGGCCGTCTTGGGGGCCTCTTGAGCTGTCTTAGGCTGCCCAGGGCCCTCTTGGTTTGTTTTGGAGCCCTCTTGGGGACCTGTTTTGGGGCGTCTTGGGTTTCGGAAACCTGAAAGGGCCGGTGCGCCAAAACCTTTCAACAGCCAAATGGGTATCATTTGTTGTTTGCCTCTGGAGGGCCTCCTGGGCGTCGTCTTGGAGACGTCTTGGGACGTATTCGAGCCTTCTGTGGCTGTCTTGGGATCATTTTGAGGCCCTCGGGCGGGCTGTATTCACCTCCTTGGGGGGGCATGCTTTCTAGCTGTTTCCCTTTCAGGTGGTCTGTTTTGCCACCCGTCGGAGGGGGACTTGTTTGGACCCCTTAGTCTTGCATACGCAATCTTACGCAGAAGATGACCCAGCACCGGCTCAGGAGAGGGGCGGCGTCTTTCTAGGGACGATCGCCGGAAGGGTTTGGGGTCGTCCTTCGTTCGCATTTAAACGCATATTCACCATACAGCAGAGGAGAGTTCTAACACACCCACTCCGTCCAGGCACAGTGGCTGATGATCCTGGAAGCTTTGACTTTCGGGCGTCGGACGGACGGATGGCGTCACGTCACGTTTTCAAACTGCGTCTGTCGAGTGAGCACAACGCTCATTCGTTTCCCGAGTTTGTAACAGATACCACCAGGATGGATAGCGGGCAATTTTCACACTGGGGGGGGAGGACGAGAAGGAGGAGGACGAGGAGGAAGAGGAGGAGGAGGAGGAAAGGAGGAGGAGGAGGAGGAGGAGGGAGGAGGAGGAGAAGGAGGAGGAGGAGAAGGAGGAGCAGGAGAAGGGAGAGGAGGACTGTTCGTTCAGTGCCGCGTGCAGCCGTTTTCGAAGCTTGGACCACATACGGGGATGGAGGGCGGCTCCACTCCACATTTGAGGGCTCTCGCTCTTGGAACCTCTTCAACTTGCATGAAGTCGGACGTGTCTGTCTAATGGAGGAATATCCAAGCATAGTTTTAACTCAGTCGGGGGACGATGTGTTGAGTTTTTTTTTTTTTTTTTTTTTTTTTTTAAAAGAAAAAAAAATTGTTTGGCTATTTCTATTTGTCGTCCAAAAGCGGCCTGCTGGAGGACGTGCCCGACTTGAAACTTGCACCACCAGACTATACATATGTGCAGCAGTGGCAGGGCTGGAGGTGGTTCCTTTGGAACACGGGGTTCTTGCCTGAGACGTCCCCCCGAACAGGTCGCACTCGAGCGTAATATTGTGGAACAGGCTCACGCGTGGAGGGCGGTTCCTTTTCACTTACAGGGTCTCGTGGGACCATGTCCTTGAATTGTGTATGTCTGCGCGTTGCATGCGGCCACAACTATACAGGACAGTTTTATCCCAACCAGACCACTCGCCAGAATAATAAGCACATGCTTAGCTCGTCTATCATGGTTGGAGCTGCCCGTGTTGAAAAGGAATGCTTGCATGAGCCTGTGGGAGGGGATTGGGGACGGGAGGGTAGGCTGCGGCTGACGCGTCCTGGGTGTACTCTGGTTGTCATCCAGCTGGCTCCTCCTCGATCATCTCACTCTTCCCGCACCTTCTCCTCATCCTTCTCTCTCCTCTCCCCCATCGCTGCGGAAGCGGAGGCTGCCATGCCGCCGCCACGGCGCGGTCTGCAGTGTTTCGTCCCGCTCGCGGTCGTCGGGGCGGTCCGATTGCAGGTCATGGTGACCAGCAGGCCCGCCGCCGAGCCCCAGGGCCGAGGAGGAGCAGGAGAAGGAGCAGGAGGAGGAGGAGGAGGAGGAGGAGGAGGAGGAGGAGGAGGAGGAGGAGGAGGAGGAGAAGGAGAAGGAGGAGGAGCGTGGGAAGGATCGACGTTCGAGGTTCGAGGCTCGAGGTTTTGGAAGGTGCTGTCCCTCCTCCTCCTCCTCCTCCTCCTTTTCGTTCTGCCTCTCCAGTCTGAGCCATTCCTCCTCCTCCTCCTCCTCCTCCTCTTCCTCCTCGTCCTCCTCTTCCTCCTCCTCCGAGCCCCCGCGGCTCAGGTGCGATGTTTCGGGCGGTCGCGAGGTCTCTCTGTTTCCTGCACGGAGTGACCCACCATGCCCTGAATCGGCCTGGCTGGCGAGGCTCGCTCTCTTCCCACACTCCCCGCACGCCACCTTCCCACCTGCTCATGCTGCGACGTCTGGGATTCAATCCCCTCTGGGCGACGGGAGAGAGACTAGAGGAAATCGTGCTGGAGGGAAGGAACTTTGATCTCATCATGCTGTGTGGGACCAAAGCGGGGGATCGACCAGGAAACGCAACGGTATTACAGCGACGCGTGTCTGGGAATATTGTTCTGGAGGCCCCTCATGCTCACGGACTACAGCCGTACAGTAATTCTAGCTGTGGGTGTGCTTATCGTTTTGGGAGGACTTTTCGGATCGTCGGACGTGGGGGAGCCCTGCTGGCGCAGCGGGGCGAGGGCTTGCCGTGCGACTCAAACGAGGTCCCTTGGATGTCTGTGCGCTGGTGGCCTACTTCCTTCCCCGTCCTAAGAAGCATGAGCAGAAATGCCGTTACCTGCAGACCGTTTCTCTCTTGCACGACTGGTTGGCTTCCGTCTTGCACGAATTATCCCAGAGATGTACACTGGTGTTCTTCACCGATCTGAATGACGGCATCGGGAGGGCCTACCAGCACGAGCGTCGGGTTGACCTCCCCACGTCAGTAGTGGACACCTGTACAGAGGAGCGGATCATTCGAGGTGCAGGCCATCGCGTCCGAGAGGTCATGGAATTAAACCACATGAAAGCCATGCGCACCAGCACGTATGTCCCCACGTTCTATCATGATACGGGTTCTAGCCGACTCGATTACATGTTCCTACCGAGGGGAATGGAGGCACAGGTGGTCAAAGCTACGGTGTTGCGTTCCATGGGGGCGAAGCTGCAGGCCATCCGTGGCCCAGCACCTCGTGATCATTTGCCTTTTGCTTGCTGTGTTGCCTACAACAAGGGAGGGGGGGTTCGACCACAGGAGGCGCCAGGATATCGTTGGAACTTCGATCTGCTCATGGACGGACTTCGGCGTGGCAGCCTGCGCTGGGAGTTCCTGCGATCGGTACAGGAGGGGCTGCGTACGGTTCCTGTCGCATGGCTTCGTGATTACGGGCGTCCTGACGCTATATTCGAAACCCTAGAGGCCGTTCTCCTGGAAGCTGGTCGTAGACACTTTCAGTCTCATCCTCCACCTTGTCCCACCTTCTCCCTGGACTGCAAGCGCCGACGTGAGCTGTTACGACAACGCGCGCTTATTCGCTCGGGGAAGGAGGGGGCGACAGGAGAGGAGGCGGAACGGATCGATCGTGAACTTCGGGACCTCACGGGGGAGCTTCGGGCGGCACGACGGAGGGCACTACGACGACACCGCACGCGACTATGTGAGGAGGCTACGGAGCACTGGGAGCACAGGAGGATGGCGGAGGCGATGAGGATATCACGACGAGCTGCACGCACACGGCTAGGACCTAAGAAACGAGACGGCCGACTCTGTGCCCCACGTCAACCTGCTGTTGCTGAGTGGCTATCGGTCTGGTCTCTTCCTGGTGCGCAGGGTGGCATTTTGCGCAGTGGGCATGATTGGGGCAGCAGGAGGGGTGATCGCGAAGTTGAGCTCTTCCCGCATGGCGGTGAGGATGGGGAGGCCAACGCTCTTGTCAAGGGGGATGTGCAGATCATTAGGAGGTTCAAGCGCAGGGCGCCCAAAAGGCGCCTGATACCCCCAGACACGACCCCCCTGGAGCTGTGGCACATGGCACTATTTCCCAACTGGCGAGTTCGGCGTCGGGGGGGTCTCGGTGCTTCGGGCAAGGCCCCAGAGATCCGTGGGTTCTGGTGGTTGCTCACGGTCGGCCGGGCGAAAATGAGATTGACGGAGACCCCGCCCTTGCATTGGCACGGGGGCGCGGGGGGCGGGCTGCGCAAATCTTTGAAGAGCGGCCCCGCGGGAAAGAGAGTTATTCACCTGCTGTCTGTTATCGGAAAGGCGCGGCACGCACATCGCATTGCGCCTTGTCCGCCCCTCGCCGACCACGGGTTTGCACGGGGTCGATGTCGTGGGAGCGCTGTGTTGATCGCGAGCGTATCTTCGTGGAGACTCCGTGCTGCTGGCCGCGCGCATGCAATGTGTTTCAAGGATATGTCTAATGCGTTCGGGAGTGCCAGCTGGGAGGCCCTCGATAAAGTCATGGCCGCCGCCGCCCAGCCCCAGGACCTGGCACAGCGCAAGCAAAGGCATCGACAGGCCGCGGTGCAGCTGACGGGGGGGGGGAGACGGTGCACCTGAAGACCCGCCAGGGGAGCCTCATGGGGGGCCCGTTCGCTGTCGCATCGTTCCTCGCCGCCTTTCAGGAACCCATCCTGCGCTGGAGCTTCGACCTTCGCTCAGCGGACCCTTGCGCTAAGGGCATGGTTGTGAATTGGGGGGGGGGGGGGGGGGGGGGGGGGGGGGGGGGGGGGGGGGGGGGGGTGGGCATCGATGTGATTCAAGTCTACTAAGGTACGCCGACGACCTTAATAAGTCCTGCCTGGCGAGCCCAGAGTCCACCTTTGAGGAATTCCTTGACGAGCTGAGCATGACAGATAGCCTACTAGACGAACGTTTGGAGGGGAGTGGGCGCGGGCAGAATCGGTCAAATCAGGAATTATTGTTTCATTTCGCTTATAGCAGCCAGACCTTCCGTCGCGAGCTCCGTCGATTGGTGCGTCGCCAAGATGATGAAGGGACTGGGTTGGTGATTGAGGGGGGCCCCGAAGGAGGGGGCTCGGTGCCTCGGACCATACTTATCTATGTCATCCTCGGCTAGGAGTGAGGTAACGAGGAGGATTTCGGCAGGTCGTGTCTCGTTTCACAGCTTGGGCGCCGTATGGAGTATTCCGTTCCCGTTCAAGTGGAAGCGTGCGTTGCTGCTGGGTTTCGGTCAGGGCCCCCCCCCTCAGCGGCCTCGAGTGCTTCGTCCTGTCCCCGGCGGACTGTGCTAGACTAGATAGTGCGATGGCGTCTCTTGGGGGAATCGCGATGATGGGTGAGGCCACTACCTGGACGGGGCCGCATCCTACTAGCATGACTAATCTCAGGTTTTGGGACATTGGAGAATTCTTGGCAGCGGCAAGGGAATGAAGATACGTAGGTTACGAATGTGCCAGACGTAGGCCCTTGATCCACCGCATCACTGCCATGTTTTTTATGTACCTTGTTCGGTGCTGCTCAGTTCGACCAGGACCGACCCCCGCTGGATCGCGGACAGCCTACTCCCTTCTCGTCGCCCTGGGTTGTGCAACTGCACAATGACTTCTCGTGGGCTGCTGATATTCAGGAGGCAGGTATTTTAAATGATATAGTAGGAGACTTGACTATACTGGGGGATCGTGAGAGGCCTGCCGACCTGCAGTCCATAGATTTTACGGAGATTCGTGCTCGACAATTCTCGTTTCAGGCGGCACCCCCAGGGTGGGCCCATCCGCAGGCACTGGTCTCGGACACCGCTCCTTTGGAGGAAGATGCGGCGTTTCGTTGCTGGCTGACAGTGGAGGGATCGGACACGCCATGTGGGGCGAAATTCACTACGCGGCGTAACCTCATACGGCAAGCGCATCATCTCCGAAATCTATGTAGGTTCCTCACCCCCAGCAACCTGTGCATCAACTGCCACCAGACATCCGCTACCGTGGCGAACGCCTCACTCCACCTGCAGGGGTCTTTATCACGGGGACATTGCATCGCCACGGGACCTTACACCCTCGGGAAGTTGATTGCGCCCACAACACTTGCATGCCCCAGCTGCCCTTTTGAAGGCTCTAACTTGATTGACTTGTGCCGCCATCTTTGCACGCGCCTCCCAGTCAGAGTTGCCCCATGCGTGCCAGAAGATGCCAGGGGAGGGCGCAGCGGCAGCCGCGACCGCGATGGCGATAGACAGCGGCAACGGAGCGGCACCAGGCACGGGAGGGCTTCTTCCCGAGTGGTTCAGTGGCCGCATCGCGCACGCGAGCAAGCGCAAGAACGGCGTGGAGGAGGAGGCCACGCCAGGAATGGGCAGCGGCGGCAGCGACCCGAAGCAGGGGCGCCACGGCGGCAAGGGCGGCGGCGACCGCGGGAAGCTGACGACGGCGATGGGGCGGCTGCTCCTCACGGTGGCCCGCGAGGCGGCAGACCTGTCCGCCAACGCCTACACCCGCTGCCAGCTGTACATCGACACAGGGTTGGCCGCAGCGTGCCAGAAGGCGGGGCAGCAGTACGACGAGCTCAGCCGCGACTACAACGCCCGCGCCAAGAAGGGCGAGAAGATCGACTGGGAGGCCCGCGGGCCACCTCACATCCATGCATGCACGGGGGCGCTGATCTACGGCGCCGAGATGACTCCCGAAGCAGGCCCCAATCACGAGCAGTTGAAGAAGCTCCAGGTCGCCCGTAGGAACCCAGCAGGAGGAGAGGAGAGGAAGCATGGCGATTGTTGAAACACGTGTCTCTAGAGCAGTCCCAAAGGCCTTTTCCTGTAGCCAGCGCTACCGTGAGCTGCAGGACCGCGGAGGTTTGCCCGCCCTTTCGGTCCCGACCTGTGCCAGTGCAGATTTGCCGACCACTCCAGTGGTCTTTGTGCCGCCTGCCTCAGGCCGAGGACGAGGACGTGGGGGGAGGTCGTCTGGTCGTGGGGGTGGGGGTCGTGGGAAGGGAAGTGATCCTCGTGCCTGAGTGCTGGGTCCCAGCAGGCGGTCGTGTGCCGCGCTTGGGTCCCCAGCCGAGCCTGTGCCGCTCCCGCGGAGCGCAGCAGGCCGATTCGTTGTCTCCGTGGGATACGTAGTGATCCACCTCAGATTCCTATGTGTGGAGTGCCGCTCTGGTGCGAGGCTCGTCGGCGCGATGCCATCGACAGGAGTCCACGAGCTTCCGATCCTCCTCCTCCTCCTCCTCCTCCTCCTCCTCCTCCTCCTCCTCCTCCTCCTCCTCCTCCTCCTCCTCCTCCTCCTCTTTGTCCTGCCATCGCAGCGCCCAGGTGGGAGTCCGCGTGGCGCCGCCACACGCAGCGGCGCGCGATCCGCGGTTGCCTGCCGCCGGCGGGTTCGGGGCACGAGGAGGGCGCCGCCCTAACGCTGCCTCGCGTGGGGCAGGATGGGGAGAAGGAGAAGGAGGAGGAGGAGGAGGAGGAGGAGGAGAGGAGGAGGAGGGAGGAGGACAGGAAGAAGGAGAAGGAGGAGGAGGAGGAGGAGGAGGGAGGAGGCAGTGAGGAGGAGGAGGAGGAGGAGGAGGAGGAGGATGGAGGAGGTGGAGGAGAGGAGAGGAGGAGGAGGAGGAAGAGAAGGAGGAGGAGGAGGCCGAGGAGAGGTAGAGGAGGAGGGAGGAGGAGGAGGAGGAGGAGGAGGAGGAGGAGGAGGAGGAGGAGGAGGAGGAGGAGGGAGGAGGGAGGTAGGGGGAGGAGGGAGGGAGGGAGGAGGGGAGGAGGGGGAGGAGGGAGGAGGGGAGGAGGAGGGGAGGAGGGAGGAGGGAGGATGGGAGGAGGGAGGAGGGAGGGAGGAGGGAGGAGGGAGGGGGAGGAGGGAGGAGGAGGAGGAGGAGGGAGGAGGGAGGAGGGAGAGGAAGGAGGGAGGGGAGGAGGAGGGAGGAGGGAGGAGGGAGGAGGAGGAGGGAGGAGGGATGAGGGAGGAGGAGGAGGAGGGGTGAGGAGGGGTGGTGGAGGAGGAGGAGGAGGAGGAAGAGGACGAGGAGGTGGCGAGGGGAGGAGGAGCGAGGACGAGGACGAGGACGAGGAGGAGGACGAGGAGGGGCAGGAGAGGAGGAGGAGGAGGAGGGAGGAGGAGGAGGAGGAGGAGGAGGACGAGGGAGGAGGAGGAGGAAAAGGAGGAGGAGGAGGTGGACCAGGAGGAGGACGAGGACGAGGAGGAGGAGGAGGAGGAGGAGGAGGAGGAGGCCCAGGAGGACGGGGGGGGGAGCGGAGGAGGGGGGCGGAAAGTTGGGGGAGGGAGTAGCAGCCAAGGGTGGACCCGGAGGAGGAGCGAGTGAGTGAGAGTAGTCGCGATGCGATATGACCAGGAGGAGGAGAACCAGAGTAAACGCAGGATGCTTCAACGATGCTGCAGTACTTCTCGCGTGCCAAGTCTCCTTTTCATGCGCGGGCATTCCCTTTTACTGCTGGAAGGGCCCTCTTCAAAGACGACTGCTTCAGTAAGCCATTAAGGCAAGACGCCCCTCTTGAAAGGGATCCGAATTCGGAGGAGGAGGAGGAGGAGGAGGAAGAGGAGGAGGAGAGGGCAGATGAGCACGAGGAGGAGCATCAGTTCCTCGCCGTGCTCGCCGTCGCAAGCGCAAGCACCCCCTCGAGGTGGAGCTCCTGTTCTTCATGGGCGACCTCAACGGCACCGATGAGCATCTCGCTCGGCGGGAGCAGGAGGACACTGGACGCCCCGCCTCTTCCTCATCCTGCCTGCTGCTGCTGAACTCCTCCTCCTCCTCCTCCTCCTCCGCCTCCTCCTCCTCCTCCTCCTCCTCCTCCTCCGCCTCCTCCGCCTCCTCGCCTCCCCCCCTCCTCCTCCTCCTCCTCCTTCCCCCCTCCTCCTCCTCATCTCCTCCTCCTCCGCCTCCTCCGCCTCCTCCTCCTCCTCCTCCTCCTCCTCCTCTATCCTCCTCCT